CGAAATGTTCTCGTAAATCTCGATTTTTAATAATTCTTTCTTTCTGTACGAGCTCAAGAAATGGCAAAAGAAGCATAAAAGGATTTATGGATTCATTTTGTACTTACAATAATTTTTCTGTCGATTGCTCTTTTCATTCTCATCGTCGTACTTTATGTACCGAATATATGTTCGGTTTTGGGGTTATTATGAATAAGGATGAACTATAAGCTTTTAACAGTGAGCACATTTCATTCTTATGTTGATGATCTACGATTATTAAATTCCTACTGTAATAAATAATGGATATAAAAATGTTATAATGAAAAATGGAATAATGGAACTGTTGAAAAGATGTTCGAGTTGGTATTGACAGGTATTGATTTCTGTTCTTGTGGATTGTGGATAGGAAAATTGGATTTGTTTGAGTTTTTAAAAGCTGTTTTAAGAGTTGCGTGACAGTATAATTTACGGTCAATTCCAAACTATGCGTAGTGTTACATCAGTGTGTATCTGATGCTGATTTCTTAAAGCTTAAGTTGCTAGAGTATCCCTTGGTCACATCTCGGCCTATCCATCGAGGCACACTAAAGGTATGTCTTAAGGTACATCCTAGTAGATCAGACCCTAAACTCAAACGTTCTCTCTCAAAACTAAGGCAAGATGCTAGAGCCGTTCTTTAGAATCACGCATTAATGATGCAAAATATTCATTAAAAAATTCATTAGCATGTCTACATCAAAAATCAAATCAAACCAGACAATAATATTAAAATTCATTAATTCTCAGTACACTCAACCCCAAGAAAAAAGAGATACAAAATGAAATGCTCATTTAAGCTATTATGACAGCAATGAGCAAAATAAATAATGTGATATTTTTTAATGGGCCACAAATTAATGCAGATTATACACATTTTACAGGCTTAGTCGTCAAAGCATGAACAAGAAAAATTCCACATTAATCCCACGTAACCAAAGTGTTCCACACATTTTCCATTTACATAGATGGAATATTTATGTACTTTCCCCAAAACAGTACATAATGTATCATTTATGTATTACATACATGGAATATCCATGTATAGTCCATGAGTAATACATCTATGTAGCACCTTAAAAATTTTGCCATTCAGACAATTAAGAACATTTTTTGCTGCATTTTATTTTTTTAAGTTATTTGTTTACATTATGAAAAATGTGTTTTCAAAATTGTTGTGAAGTGAAAATTTAATTTAAACGTACAATTTAGATGCTTAAATAATTAAATGGACCAAGAAATATTGTACGGTGAGTAATTATAGGGAATATAGTAAAACATCGATTAATAAGGTAAGAACAAAATATTAATTTTTAAAGTGTAAAGTGTCTACGATGTTTTAAACATCTAATATTTTAATCTTTGTCTTTCTTGTTTCTTTTCTGTCTACCTTTAGGTATAATAAAGTAAAAATTTACAATTTTTCAGGAAATTATTAATTTTTTGAGTTACAGTGATAAATTTTTTCTAGGTGTAAATTGGCCTCTTTGAGTGTTGTGAGTTTAAAATAATATTAATTTTTAATAAATAAAGAGTTTAACATAAAGTAGTTAAACTTTAATCATAAATATGTGCATTAATTAATAAAAATCCAGCATTTTTTATTTCAGGCGTTTCAATCCATTCATAGTACACAAGATAGTACAAATGTATTACATCAATCGACTAAACATGTATAGTACACAAAATCGCACAAATGTATTACATCAATGTACTATACATGGAACGTCCCCAAAATCGTCCATTATATCATCCATCTCCATAGGACAATATCGTTCCATGTATCATCCATGGATGATACGCATGGACTATACATGGAATATTTTCGCGTAATACATGTATCGTCCATCTATGGGATTTTGGTTACGTGGGATGTGATTCTGCAATAACTCAATTTTAATCTCATTAAGACCAGAAAAAAAATTATTATTTTTTTTCGCTACTTCTATGAAAATTTTTAAGTTATAGCGTGTGAAGATGTTGTTTCGTTGATTACGCTTGCATGTTTGTGATTTAATGCTTGTTTAGTCGGAAAAGCAGTAGCGGAGATGTCTATTTTAGTTTATAATGGAGGTGATTATGGGAAGTTAATTGGTGTGAGTTTAGATGGTTTTTTTGATGGAAATTATGAGCAGCTAAATGATGCAATGTTGTTTTTGAGGAATTTTGTGTTAAAAATTAGATTTAAATATTTATTCCTTTGGTTTCGATCAGTGATGGCCAACCCATGTGCCGCGAAAAAATTTAAGAAATTCAGTGAACCGTTTAACGTGTATAGGTTCGTTCATGGCGCAACATCAATGTTTGTCGTTTCACAAAAAAGGTTGTCCACTACTGCTATAGATTAAACATTTTGATGTAGTTGTCCCTGATATATCACTAGAATGTCTCTGATATGTTACTAGAATGTACCTAATATCAATGTTGTTTCTATTTTTAAAGCATTCACAAGCTTGCTTTTGGACCGATTGCCCAGGAAATCAAGAGTTAAGCCTATCCCGAGCAACCGCTTTTTGAGCTTGAATACATGCAATTTTCATTTGGAGGATGATCTTTATTTCAAAAATTGACTCGCTTTCTCTGATAATTCTCTTATTTCTGTTAATCATCAACATCTTCAGACTTCCAAATTCATGCAATTTAGCAAATTATATGTTATGGAGTAACTTTATTATAGGTTCATCGATGGCTAATTGTATAGAATTTGTGTGCAAGATTAAATGAATTTTTTTATAACAAATTATTTAAGTCTCTGAGAAAATCATTATAATCATTTTAAAAAACAGTCAAAAAGTTAATTCTGCGAAATAAGGTCTATTCAATCAAACTTATAATATACATTTCGCTACTCACTAGGTTTGGGAGTTGTACACAAATGACGTAATTTAAAAAAATTAATTATTGATCGCTCTTGATAAAGGCTTATTTTTGAAAGAGTGCAGATTCTAAACAAGTTTCACGTTATTTCCTATAAGTCTTGCGGAGGAGGTAAGGATTGAACCCTCTTGGCTACTCTTATACCTAGTGATCATACAAAGCCTAAACAGTCTTCCTCAAATGTGGACGTCGTTAGTAAACAAACCTATTTAATAAAATCACAAAAAAATTACAGATGGACATCTAACAATAATTCCATTACCCTCAAATCACCCAACAAAAAAAAAAAACCAGCATAAAAAATCATATTTAAAACAAATTCTCTTACACTACTGTTCCTTAATGTCATTGTCACTTGATTTATTGACTTACTGTAAAAAAAATTAAAAAAAATAAATCCATGCTTCATAAATTAACCATGACATTAGCTTCACACAAAAATTTCGCCTTGCATTTCAAAGTGTGAAGGATAAAAAAATTTGTAATGGACATAAAAAAAATTCCTGCCTATATTTTTTGTGTCCCTAATTTATTGCTTCACTTTCTCCCTTTTTCTTGATCCTTAAAAAAACTCAAAAAAAAATTAATATCAGTCACGTCATGGTCGGAAGAGTGAAAAACTATCCAATTATCACAAAATTGTCATTTTTTCCATTCTCATGTCACAGAACTCAGACACAATGGAGTCAATAGACAATGGAATCATATTTGCTTATGTTATTATTATTACACTTAATTCAAATATATTAACATCATATTTCATGTGTTCCTCTCGCTCTCTCGTCTTCAACAACAACACAAAGTCACCATGACAAAGGCAATATAAATTATAAATTATACATGAATTTGTTACGCTCAATGATTGGATCAATTATGAAATATTATCGTTTATATTTTTATTATTTTTTTTTGTTGTCAGAATTTTAACTGTGAGTTGTGTTTAATTGTCATGAAATGTATTAACATTTGTGCGTGTGCATATGCTTTGAATTATTTAGAGTTTGTGGTGTTTTTTGAGTTGGATGTTTAAAGGGATAGTTGATAGAGCTGGTTTATTGAGATAAATGGTAGCTGAAGTTGACACTTTGTATGTCCAGCTGGTTATTCGTTATTGAGTCGATAAATATGAAATTATTTGTTGAATTTTTATTCTTATCTCAATTATATAGCCCGAATGGCACAAGTCGATTAATCGATTTGAAATCCATCACTGAGCTAGTGTGACTCTGGCATGTTGCTAGATTTAAATGAAAGCCAACACAAAAATTGCTTATTTGTCTGTCTGCCATACAAAATTCGAAATTTAATCCCCCTTTTTCGAAAAATTCGAAAAGTCAAAATCTTAAAAAATGCTTGATTGAGTGTAAATTTACTAATTCTGTTTGTTGATTAAGAGCCGTTCACTTATTATGTTACGCAAAAAACGACCTTTTTCAACCCCCTTTCCACCCTTGTTACAATATGTTACAACTCACAACCCCCCCCCCCCCTGAACGTACATAATTTATTTTATCATTAAAAAGGTGGAAAATTTAAATAAGGTGTGAATTTGTAAACAAATTGTTTGCGTGAACTTATTTTAAAAAAAGACATACGACAGTTAGAACGTTACATACTTCTTGACCCCCCCCCCCCCAATGTTACATTTTATTACAATTTTTCAAACCCCCCCTCCCCCCTAAAATGCGAACGTAATAAGTGAACGGCTCCTTAATGATTTTTAATCATAACATAGCTAAATGCTTAGTAATGCATTCGAAAATTCGTTGCAAGTCAGGAAAAAAATGTCAACGGTTTTTGCGAATTTGAAAATTTCGAACATAAATATTTTAATACCTCTAGCACTTCGGAAAGTGTCGAAATTGAATTTGCACCATCTGCATAAGTTTTTGTTGAACTTTTTAATATAATTTGTATTTTTTGTTAAACTGGCACACGTTGGTTTATCCGACTTCTTCCATTCGAGTTTCTTATTTTTGTGATCTCTAAGGCACACCAATTCTCAATCAAATAGAGGAACATAAAATTTTGAAGACCTTAGTTATGAAGATAAAGAAATGGGCTGAGAAGACTCGTTTGTCCAAGTTAAAATATCATAGATTTTATATTCAGCTAGACAGAATCTGATTAATTAATTTTTGTGATGTTTATTCATATAAAATTCTTTTGATTTTAATATATACAATTAGTTCAATATTATCAAAGGTTAATTTTTGGAACTTACACAAATAATCAATACCCAAAAAGATATTGATTGAAATAATTATTAATTAGTTTATAAATTACTTGCAAGCACACGGGCGACTTGATAGCTCATAAACCAAATGTTTTAATTCTTCAAAATTTTTGGCTTGTTCTTCTAAACTTTCTTGCAATTCTTTGGTTATTGCTCGCAGCTGTTGATTTTCCTCTTGAAGGTTTGTAATTTGTTCTCCCTGATTTTCGATTGTTAATCCTTGATCTCTGATTATTGAGCATTGATTTTTATTTTCATCCATCAGAGCAGTTATTATTAAAGTTTGATTCTTAACCTCATTTTTAAGTGAACTTTGGTCTTTCGAAATTGTATCCACAAGAGTAATAAAATTTTCTAAATCTGACTGGATTGCCTCATTTACTTTAGTGATGTTTTTCATTTCTGAACGAATTTTGATATTTTCAGCTGTAAGATTGTTGACTGTGAGTTGAAGCTTATTTATAGTTGAAGTTAATTGCTGATTTTGATTTTGAAAATCTAAGGCGACATTATTTAAGTCCTCTTCAAGTTTACTTATTCTTGCTGTGGTTTTTAATAGAAAAATTAATTAATTAAAATTATTTTAAAAAGTCACATGAATCCTCTTACATGGAATTAAATCGTCAAAATTTTTAAAGCAAGTCTGTAATGCTAATCTCATTGGCATTTTTGTGGTTGAATTATCAAAAATACTTTGATTTAAACAAAAATTATTACTCATGTCTATCCTTTGTACTCCAGTGGTATCAATGAACTCTTCATCAATAGCTTGAATTTGGTTTTTATAAAGGATTATATTTTTAAGATTAGATAAACCTCGAAATGAACCAGAATGAATAACTTTAAACTTATTTGAGTATATATGAATATATTCCAATTTTTTTAATGACATGAAAATATTTCTTGGCAGTTCCTCAATTTGATTACCACCTATTACCAAAGTATTTAAATTCTCGAGTTGAAGAAACCAATTAATTTTTAAGTTTTTTATTTGATTATGTTGAAGATCCAAATAAGACAACATTTTAAGAGACGAAAAAATTTTTTCAGGCAAGTCAGAAATTTTGTTCAAGCCTAAACTCAAAGTATTTAATTTTTGTTGACTTTTAAAGACGTTTTCTGGCAACCCCGTCAGCTGATTATGAGAAAATTTCAAAAATACAATTTCGGTATTTTCATTCAACGCCTTTTCATCCACTTTTGTAATTTTATTGTAATCCAAATACAAATAAAGAAGCTTTTTACAGTTCTTGAATGCCTTTTCATCAACAGTTTGAATTCCAATTTCATTCAAATAAACACCAGTCACACTTTGAAATTTATCACAAAGTATTGACGGAATATTTGTTGTGTTAGATCCAGATACATTTAAAATTCTTCGAACATCATTATCAGTCCTTCCAGACAAATGAGTTCCTCCAATTGATCCAAAATTATTCAATCCATTTGGATTTTGAATCGTTAAATCACAAGTATAACCATTATTGTCAATCCTGTAACTACAACTTAAAACCTGACCGAGGCTTGAGTTTAAATTCGCAAAAATGATAAAAATCACAAGTTTCAGAATCATTTTGCTTATAGACTCTTTTAAAAACAACTAACGACTTAAATAGTGAATGCAATTGATTTTATACAATTTTTCCACAATCAATAAATTTATTGATAAGTTTTTATCACACTCAGACTCAAAACAGACTTCAGGAAATTAATTTTGCACTGAATAATCCATGGATTAATCTTTATCTTTTGTAAACATTAAACTTCCGTTTTGAAACTGATAAAAAATCAAAGATAATTGCAGTAGGTTGAGCTGTCATTAGTGCATCGATAAATACTCGTAAAATACCAAGCAAATGCGCTTTAGACTTCCAATAATGTGTCAACAATCGTACTTAAAAAAATTTTAATTTATTTGTCACAATAAAACTCAACAATACAGTCATGCCGCATTATCAACAAGAAAAGAATAAAACAATTTGTCAAATTTATAAGCATGTATATCCACATCGACATGGCAGCTCATATGAACAAGTATAATAAGAATTATGAGATAGGGAAATTATACAGCTCAGAAAAAGTGTGTGCGGGTGTGCACATACAATTTGTGTGTTGTTTCTAGTTATAAATTCATAAATTAACAATTCTCGGGGCCTTTTTATTAATCATCGCATGTCAAAAATATTTCATCACTTCTGCATAATAAAAAAAAAGGTTTTTGAAGTCGCTTTCGTGTTTACATTTTTTTCATCATTTGAATTATTTTTTTTCTTTCTCGAAAAAGAAACGCCTGCGGGTATGTCAGTGTATAATGTGTGAGAGAGAGCTGCTCGACAAGCTTAAATTAAAAGAAGCAAATGAAAAATTTCTTACATCTTCATTTAATTCTCTTTTTTTTTTGTGAATTAAAAAAAAAACTTTTACTTACTGCCGGAATTGTGTGGCGGCAGTTACTGATGTTTGTGGTGTCGATTAAATTAACCAGCATCATCATCATCATACAACAGCATTATTATCTCTTTTATTTCATTTAAATAGTGAGGACGTTGGGAGATTTATTTGATAATTTTAATTTACGGCGCATTTTTAGTTTATTTTAAGTTAATTTAATTTTTAAGATGAAATCTAAAATATTTTGAAATTGTGAAGCTTTATTCTATTATCGATGAGGATCGCAGTGCCTCCAGGTCATCGTATGTCGTTCACATCGCTTGGCTGGAACCCTTTCACATTATTGAGGTTCATTACATTTAGAGGGAGGGGGTACGGGATCTCGCGATCACGATTTTGAATGACGTCATTGATAAACAATGCCTAAAGTGCAACATAATATTTTTCAATTTTTAAGAAAGTTTTTAGGAGACCCCCAGCCAGCCAGCCAACCACCCAAACCTCTACCATCCACCAACCACCTCATCCATCATCATCTCTTCACTTAACTCAAATAAAAAATACAAAGAAATGAAAGAGAAAGAAGAAGAAATGAATTAGCATTTAAAAGACTATGATGATTGCCATGTAATTAAGATCTGTCTATTTCAATGAATGCTGTGCTGTCTATTAACTGCTCTGAACTTCACACGATTCTCACATCAAATAAACATTCCAATATTCAATTTCTTTTCAACTTCATCTCTTTTGAAATTTCAATCAAGATTTTTTTTTCTTAAAACTTAGATTAGATTAAATTGGTTGGTTTGTGGAGTTTTAGGGTGGCTGGCTGAATTTAGGTTTAGATTTAGAAAAAGAATTTTGAAGCATGATAATCTTTGCATAACTCAATTTTTTCGAAAACCATCAAAAAATGCGCTCCATACCCCAAAAAAATTCCCAAAAATCACTCAAAAAAATTCACCATCAAAATAGTTTTTTTTTCACTAAATTTTAATTCTTTTAATTTTCCCTCACAGATCATTTGAAATAAAAGAAATATATCTAATGAATGGAGATCAATTGAGGATGATCATGAAAATTTACTTGTTATTTATTTATGTGTGTATATACGCGTGTATGATTACATTTTGCGGTCCCTTTGACTTTGATCTTTTTTTTTCTTTTCATTTAAAAACTTTTTTTTCAATTGAAGAAGATTTGAAGTTTAAATGGATTTGACTGATGTAAAGAAAGAATTTCTAAAGATTGATTCTTTTGGATTTGGAATCTTGGAATTGTTGAGTGAAAGTGTGTCAGAATTTTTGATTACTTTTGAGAGTTATGTCCTGGCATGTCCAAGGAGAAATTAAGCTGTAAAACTTTAAAATTTAATGCTTGCTTGATTTGAGCTTGCATCTGTTATGACCAAGTCCCCAATCATCCCTATTCCTTTCGATTCTCCTTTCTTAGTAAAACTCGTAAAACTACCATTTTAACGCATATTCTTCAAAATCTTCCATTAAAAACAAATGATCAAAATTTAAGATTTTTTGCACATGTATCGTACATAAATCTATTTAATTCTCAGTCCATTATGCCAAATTTCTCCAAAACTGCCTTCACAATTCCAAATTATATGCAATCTCCCCTCAGAAAAATTCTTACAAGTCAGCCCTTACTGAAACATTCATATAATATCCTTATTCACTTATGCAATAGCCATATTTATGGATAATATGTGAGACATTACATACAAATAAGAAGCAAATAGTGAATTATTGCCACCATAAAGACAATTTTCGTATCTTACTAAAATGTTTTAACATTTGCGACACTTCTGCGTCTGTTAAATTTTGTACAGGAAAAAATTGAAATCAAAAATTTATGAGTTCATATTGACAATAAGTGTGTAGGGAAAATCTTCAGCTTATAGGGATAGTATTTGAGGGGTATAAAAGTATTTGAATATTTTGTAGGGGTGCAATTACTTAATTTTGAGTCAATCTTAAAGCAATGGCTTAGTTTTGAGTCAATCTTAAAGCAATGACTTAGTTTTGAGTCAATCTTAAAGCAATGACTTAATTTTGAGTCAATCTTAAAGCAATGACTTAATTTTGAGTCAACCTTAAAGCGACGACTTCGTTTTGAATCAATCTTAAAGCAATTACTTAATTTTAAGTCAATATTAAAGCGACGACTTATTATTGAGTCAATATTAAATCAATGACTTAGTTTTGAGTCAATCTTATAACAATGACTAAATTTTGAGTCAATCTTAAAGCAATGACGTAATTTTGAGTCACTCTTAAATCAATGACTTAATTTTGAGTCAATATTAAAGCAATGACTTAATTTTGAGTCAATCTGAAAGCAATGACTTCGTTTTGAGTCAATCTTAAAGCAGTGACATAGTTTTAAGTCAATCTTAAAGCAACGACTTATTATTGAGCCAATTTTCAAGCGACGACTTATTTTTGAGTAAACATTATCGTGATGGTTAAGTCTTAAGCCATCCTCATGCAATTCAGTTCATTCATCATTCTATGAATCACCAATTTAATCAGATTACACACCAAAAGACAAAATGACTGCATCCTTACATTTCCTTTATTCCATCAACCCCTCAAAAAATGTCATGAAATAATTATGTGATGATTTTCATCCAACATCCAACAATATAATATTTTAGTCAACATTCTTATTCAATGCACATTCGAAAAATTGCTCTCATGAGATCTCTATTAACTCAAACAAGCCGTACACAATAACATAACATAACTGATGATTCCATTCAAGAGGCATCTCAGTGCTTTCGTTGAGTGGTCGCATCAATATTCAATGAAGTAAAGTAAATTATTGAGAGCTTAATGAAATAAAAATCAATGAAATGAGAGAAAAAAAGATGAAAATAAATTTATTTTTTGGAGGGTCTTCATGCTGGATAATCTGTGAATTGATGATCTGCAATACTCAATGAAATGAGTTGAGAAATAAAAATGGAATTTATGAGTGGGATGAGATGAGGAAAAATTTGTAATTTAGGTAATTGAAGATGACGGAGTGACGAGAGATTTGAAGAATTTTTTGAAGTGATAATTTGCTTGATAAGTGCCAGAAATTTTGCGAAAAAAATGTAAATTATTTCACAGATAATAAATTTAAATTTCTGACCTTCATAAAACCTCTTAAAATTGATGAAAAATTGCTTAAAATCAAAAGTTTCCTGACATCTCATCAATATTAATCCCCAGGTCCTCCTCACTCATTGATCTTAAGCACACCATGTCAAATAAATGACCCGAATTTCATCTCACAAATGTGAACATTTTTCGATAAATGTAAGGATGAATAATATCATACTAATGGTCTTCAGATACACAACATTGAACATGTTTTATTTAAGATAGAAAGATTGAAAGACAAAAGGAAGGAAGAAGATGTGTAAAAGGGAGTAGGAGAGCAACAGCAGATGAGTAGAATGACTTAGGGAAAGAATGATTGTGAGGAGATGTCTCTTGTGGTGATTTTGGAACGATTTTTTATTTTTTTTTTTAAATTTTTATTCTTAAAATTTTAATTTTTTTAACTTTATAGCGCATTTTCTTATCAAGTCCGTATGCTTGTGTGTCCGTTTGTTTGTCTGTCCAGCTATCTCCTCCTTAATTTTAAGCTTTTTTGATGCGGCTTCTGGCTTATAATATGTGTGCTGAGTCTGGCAGGCGCTGGCCAAAAAATCAGAAAAATTGGAGCAGGGGCGTAGCCAGGGGGGAGGGCCATAGGGGGTCCGGGACCCCCTACGAAAATCTGATAATTGTTTTATTAAGTATTTATAGAGAAGAACCAGTTAATGTAGAGGAAGTAATGAAAGAAATGTCAAAATCAGCACGAAAAATTAAATTTAATCTATGAATAATGAATTAAATATTTAAACTTATGAAGAATGAATATAGATTTAAGGATACAAAATAGCGGTTTTTAATTTTCGAAAATGGGCCCCCCCCCTTAAAAATTTTCTGGCTACGCCCCTGAATTGGAGCACAGGAAGGTTATTAGGATTTTGTTTTGAATGTATCCGTTGCTTTTCAAATACTTTTCGACCGATATTTTTCAATTATTTTTTTACCGTTATTTTTTAAATGTTTTCAATTTTTAGATTTTATTTTCTCCTCGAATTCTGTGCCGGGAAAATGCGTGTCGGTCGGTCCCGAGTGACTACCTTTTTACTCCTTCAATTTATCCTACTTTTATTATTTTTTTAAAAAAAAATTTTCATCTGTTTTTTCTTATAAAATCATTACAAGGACACAAACTGGACATCCACAAGCATCCTGACAGGGAAAAAAAAGCCGAGAGAAATGTTATAAATGATTTATTGTATCCTTTCAAACCCTCGTTTCTCAACTGATTTATCACTTCTTGCTTACTAACATCCATGTTTTACTATTGTAATGATATGAATGGATGAATAGTGTTGCCTAACAAACAAAAATTTTCTCTCTCTTTTTTTATTTTTGGTGAATAGATGCGACACATACACATGATATTGTTAATATCCCACATAATAATACTGCAACATTTGTTCCTTGTGTGACTTGTTATAATGGAAAAATGAGATTAATCAGATGATGAAATGAAAGGAAGTTGGAAGTATGTGATGAAAAATTAATTTGATACTTGATTTATTTTATTTTCAATATTTGATTTACTCAAACTATACAATTTTGAAGTACAATCTTGTTATTTTATTAATATTGAATCTATTGATCTTGTTTGACGACCTGTGTTTAAAGTTCATCCTTTCTTCTTTCTAATGCCTCAATTCTCTTTCGCAAATCTTGATTTTCAAATTCTAGCAAACAAACTCGTTCATCTAAGTTTCCAATAGGACATTGTGGAGTTGTAGTTGTTGACTGTGTCGTTGTTGAAGTTGTTGTTTCTGTTTTGAGTTTAATGAATTGATTAGATAAAGATAAATTATTTTTTTACGTCACCAACCACTCTCTATGGTCCCTCCCTGCCCCCTCCATCCCCTTTTTTATCACAAAATCATTTTACATTGACCTTGGTTCTTAGTGTTTGTGCCGCGGCAGCCGTAAAATTTTTTTGGATGCATGCTTTGTGCAACTTTGGTCATGACTTACTCCTTAGATGTGCCGTGGCTTACAAAGTTTGGACAACAATGTTCTAAAGCAAAACAATAGCCCCCCCCCCCCCCCCCATTTACCTTCTTAATATTCAGTATCATCAAAAGCTACTTACCCGGAAAAAAATTCACATAATTCTGGAAACAATCACTTAATGCTGCCCGCATCAGGTACCTATTAGGTGATTGGTCAATAATATTTAAATTAATACACAAATTTCCTCTTAGATCAATGCTGGTTATTGCTGTGTTGTCTATAAATCTCTCATCAATGGCATAAATTTGATTATTCACAAACGATGCGTTGGTCAGCATTGAATGAATTCCAAATGAATTTGAGTCAATCACTCTTAGTCTATTGTTGTTCATTACGAGTTGCTCTAAAGCTGTCATGCTCCCAAACACTGCTCTTGGAAGTTCTTCAATTCGGTTAAATTGAAGGTTCAATGAAGTCAAGTTCCATTGCCTCAAAAACCAGTCTGGATCAAGAGTAGTCAGGTCATTTTGCTCTAAATTTAGACTAGTCATCGCAGTTAATGGCCACAGCAGAATTCTAGGTATGTTAGAAATTCTACTCTGTCGCATATCAAGTCTCCTCAATGTTGTACTATAAAAGAAGGTGGTAACATCAATATTCTGAATTTGATTTACCCAAATGTTTAATTCCAATAGCCTGTTGCAGTTCCAGAATGAATCAGGTCCCACATTTCTAATGCTCAGTTGAATATAAAAGATTGTCTCAACATTAGAGAATCTATCACAAAATATCCTAGGGATGTTTGGGGATACTGTTGTCATTCCGAGGATAGCTTGCACTCTCGAATCATCAAAGCCTGGCTGATGCACTCCATTGATTGTTGTAAAGTTGTTGAGTCCACTTGGATTGTTGATTGATGCTCGACATGTGTAACCAAACTCAGTTTGCATAAAGGTGCAGTCTATAGTGTTGTTATGATCTGTAGGGATTAAATGGTATTTATGTTAATGTATGTAAAGGTTGATGTGTTGATAACCATGCTAGAGTTCTCAATATTTATAACTGTGAGAAGGTCTCGAAGTATAGAGCTGTCTTTAGACGATTGCTGAATGCGGCAATGGGCCCAAGTGCGCCCCAGCCAAGGAAGTAAACAATTAAGTATGGGGAATAAAGATTTCCAGAGCGCCCTGAAGTACTTAGACAACCCTGAAGCTCAAGATATTCAGTACAAATATTGGTCACAAAGGCTCCCCCATCCAAAAAATCTTGACAACGCCACTCTCTGAACCACAGTATCACTTAATATTACTTACCACTAAATTCAACATAATTATTAAAGCACTGTCTTAATTCAGACCTCATTACTTGTTTAAATTCCGTTGTATCCATAACATTAACATCCGCACATACATTTCCCTTCATGTCAAAACTAGTAACACCAGTACTGTCTACAAAACGTTCGTCAATTGCGTCAATTTGATTATTTTGGAATGATGTGACACTTAATCTTGGAAGGATACCGAAGGAATCAGCACGAATGACTTTAAGTTTATTATTATCTAAGTCGATGTGCACCAAGCGAGTTAAATTTGCAAAGATTCCATCAGGAAGGACCTCAATTTGATTGCTTTGCATGTAAAGATATCTCAAGCTAGGAAGTCTAGTGAACAAGTTGGGATTAAGTGTTGACAGCAGATTTCCTTCTAAATTAAGAATTGTTAAGTTGCTTGAGCTCCAGAATACAATTCCTGGTAAATCGGTGATTCTGTTTTGACGAAGATCTAACCTGGTTAACTTGATAGCATTAACAAATGCCACCTGATCGACAACTGCTATTTGATTCATGTGGAGGTCCAAAGTAATTAAATTCTTGCAGTTCCAGAATGAATTCATATCAATTCGTTCAATGTTGAATAGCAGGAAATAAACTGATTCTAAATTAACAAATTTATCGCAAAATATCCTTGGAATATTTAGAGATGTAGGCCCGGAACTTATGATAGATCGAACATCACCATCGCCTTTATTTGCAAGATGTTGTCCACCAATTGATGTTATATTATCAAAACCATTTTGATTATTGATTGTTGCCTGACATGTGTAGCCGTTGACAGTCTCAGCATAGTTGCATGAGATGCTTTGACTATAAATTGATTGAGATTTCACCAAAACGATGAAAAGTAACAAAAATATTTTTATATCCATTTCAAGACACAATTTTATAGCACTGAGTTTATGGTTCAAACTCGTGCTTACTTTTATTTTCCCATGTCTTATCAAACTGGTGCAAAATTTTATGATAAGATTGAAATAAGGTCAGTTGGTTAATATTTAAGGGATATTTAGAAATGATGTAATATGTTTGGAGGTTAGAATAGGGTTAGATGTTGTGTTATAATTTTTTAAAAATACTATTACAATTGAAGATTCAAAAACTATAAAATTAATTGATATCACTTGTGAATGAACCCTTAAAGTAAATAGATTAAGCCAGAGTTAGGGTTTCTTTTCAGGATTGATTGCTGATTTTAAAAGAATATTTACAGATGTTATAGGGAAAGCATTTTAAGGATCCTGCAGATCATGTATGCCAAAGATCTTCAATTCTTAGAATTTTAAACACTCTTAAATGCTGCTACAAAGATTCAACTCCATCAACTTATTCCTTAAAACCAAAAACTTCAACTCTGCCCGAGATTAAAGTTTAATCTAAATGAACTGGAAAGATTAAAAAAATAATCAAGTCACTCTATTATGCAACATATTATAAACAGCTGATAAAATTCACGATATTATTGCATGACATTCCAGAGCTCAATTGCATTAATTCGATTAAATTCCACAGAGATAAGATTAATTTAAAAACAGCACAATTTTAACAACAAACCCAGCAAAGCTTTTGATAGCTTAATTTATAACTCTTAAGTGCGGAAAAGGGGACTTTTTTTAAAAAGAATATTAGTTGATGTTCTCAGACTTAGCATTAATTTCTACCAAGAATTGGATTTAAGCAAATCACCTTCACTTTCATGATAAAAAATGCAGTATAAAACCTAGCAAATTTCAAATCATTCCTTAGTAAATTTTCAAGTTTAAACCAAGTGACTTCCTTAATTGTGGCAACAAAAGTTCCAGCAAAATGTTTAAAAACATGAAAATAATAATTTTAATCTGCGTCATGTCATTTATCTACACACAAGCATGCATCCCTCATCCAGACAGAAGCAGTGGAATGTTACAGCTTTGCCGATCAGGCAATCAATGCACTACACATTTCGGATCAAGTCAAGCATGCACACACAGCAATCCTACTTCTTTGGGACCATTCACAATTGCATACACAACCAGCAATTTATTTCAGTGCCGAGTATTTTCACAGACTGGATGCAGTGGTAGCAGTCGTATTATTGATCACAATTGGACAGTTGTTGGATTCAATGTGGTCTCGTTTACTTGTCCTTGGTTGTGTTTTTAATTATTGACTGAGTTGCTTAAAGAATTGAGAAGCATTTGTGAATCGCTTAAACATAAGTTTTATTGGGGGTCCTGGATTTTAAAATTTTTTAAATTGACGACCCCCAGTAATATTGTAATAAAAAAATATTTACATTCAAAAATGTCTTAAAATGTCCAAAAAACATATTTTCACATTTTATTTTAACTTTTTTGCCATGTCATCATTCATGCCACCCTCCACCTCCATTGCTACTTTTATGCATAGTCACTTTGACATTGATTTATTTTTTTCATATTTAAGTGAACTAATTTTTTCTCTTTCTTTGCCATTATCACTCGACCAGAAGGTCGTTTATTGTCTTTTGTCTTCAGCAAATTTCTTTTTGCCTTCTTTTTTGACACTTTTCTTTCCCTTTTTGTTTGTTTTTAAAGGGAATGGGTTGGAAGAAGGAGATCAAAAGAGGTTAATAATAAGGATGTTTAAGGTGGAATTGGGTTAGGGTGGACTTGGTAACCTTACTCGGCATGGGTAGGGGGTCCCGTTGTAACATAAAATAATCAGCTAGATCAAGACTCTTTGTTTATCTTAAAAAATTTGACCTAGATAACCCATTAAGTTCCACCAATTCCCAAACAACATCCAAATCAACCTCCTTAGTCCCTCCTTTTTGTCAGCATAAGCAACACTTTTTAGATGAAAAAAAAAAGTATTTTTCATTTCTTCTATTTTTCACTGTCATTTGGGAATGAGAAAATGTCACTCGCTGCTGCTGCTGTTCTCTTCTTTTTTTATGAAGTAAGATATATAGTATGAGGCGGGATATGAAATGTCATGTCTATGTCTTCACCTTCCTCCTTCTTACTCCTCAGCTCATCGTTCATACACACCAAAAAATTGTATATCTTCACCAACACATAGAATGGAAGGGTTGATGTTGGTACACAAAGAGGATGAATGACAGTGCAGTTAATGATGATAAATTTCCAAAAAAAAAATAAACTGAGATTTCAATCTCATTTCATGTCATGTTTCTGTGCTGAAGGAGAAAATCTGAGAAAGATGAAATGAAAATTTAAGATGTGGCACTTGAAAGATTAAGAATGGAAAGACAAAATTTTCATTTTTCTTCGTTTAATTCGCTAAGATTTTTTTTTATTTTCATGTCATTAAGAAGCTTTTCTGATGATAAATTTATGGAAGAGAAAGAATCGTTATATCATCATTATCAGTCATTAGTTATGTTTCTTAGACAGATTGACAGTGAAATTGGGGGTTGTGCTGGATGATTGGGATGGGGATACAGATTGTGACATTATGAAGATGATGATATGGATATAGAGGTGTGGTTTGGAAGGATTAATAGAATTAATTTGATTGAATTTGGAACTAAATTTAATGTTTTCTTGGTTCACAGGATCAGAATCAGCTAAGATGTTTAAAAGACTCTAAAGCTATAGTATCAAGCCAACAGGTCAAGAGGCGTGCTTTGCAACCACCAAAGTACCGGGTTAAACTTTGAATCAGTGTTGTTCAAACTGTGTGCCACGGCACACTAGTGTGCCGTAGAAAGTTTTTGTAAATGACGCGAGCCGCAGGCTGTGTGCGACTTTGGTAATGGCATACTCCTAAGGTGTGCCGTAGCTCAAAAAAGTTTGCCCAACACTGCTTTAAATGAATTAATTTGCCCAAAATCTACTCAAAAGAATCAAAACCAGCAAAAATTCTTCAATAATCAAATCCCAAAAATCATTTCTCTCCTCACCAATGACCTTCCCACCTCAAATACACTAAAAATATTCCAAATAACAAATAAATATCATTAAAGTCTAAACATCAAGTCACAAAACTACAAAAAAACATAATACCATCGACATTTCCTTTTTCATTTTCCTTTTCTCATTTCTCAATCTGAACATTTTTGTCTCATTCCATCTCTCAACTCAACCCCATTTCCATCATATCAATCACATTCAATCTATTATTCACCAATCCTATCTGTCTATCCATCTAAAATGCCATGTCTTGAAGGAAAGCAGTCAAAAGAAGAAGAAGGATTCATTGTCATTAATTAAAAATCATTTATCATTGTTTGACTCGTTCTATGTGACACTGTGTGTGAGAGTTCACAATGAGATGTTGTCGACTGTTGATGACACATTTCTCATTCTCTCGATTTCTTTTTCCGTTCGTTTTTAAGACGTTGTAGTGAGTAGAACAAGTTCTTTTCTTGACGACATCAAGCATGGCTAATGAATCTTGAAAATCAAATTAGACGAGGAAATGGATGATGATGAAGAAAATTTGGATGGGAATTGCTTTGGGTTTTGGGTTTTTTATAATTTTGTGAGGATTTACACATTTGGGGAAGGGGAGGGGGGGGGGGGTATTTTGATCATAACATAATTTGATTATTCTTGATCTAAGTTAAGAATAAGCTTAACTGATCAACAAAAAGCTCTATTTAGCCACAGGAAGGTTTTCAAAATAGCAAGAACGTTCGGCTGAGCCAATCAGGCTCGGTTAAAAAAACTATCAACTCTCATCAGCATCCATGACCTCAAAAGTGAGCAAATTTAAGAGAAAATGAGCTTTGCTGAGCAATAACTAGCTCAACTGAATATGAACAAGCTAGACTATGCTGTTAGCTCAACCAGCTGAAATAATTCTAGTATTTTTGCATTCCTTACCATAACCCACCTGCTCTCAAAGCATCCCCATCTTCTTTTTTCCACCAATAAACCCCAAAACATCAAATCAATCTTCTTAGCTCATTCTTTTGATTTTTGACGTAATAAATAAATAAACTCATTGAATGCGCATGATTCATACTCCAAAAAATGAGATTAATCATTATCATCAACATAATAAATGAGAATGAATGAGGAAGTGAGGCAAGTGGTTGAGGTGTGAGTTGTACTCAAAATGAGATAATATTATCATCATCAACATCATTTCCATGATATTGTGGGTAGAAAATGAGTTTGAGAAGAAGAAGAAAATATTCATTTGATAAGTGATACTAATTGAGGGTGTCTTTTTGTGTTGTTTGGCGATGAAACAAAAAAGTTTGTCTTATGGATGGGACTAAAGGATGGAGAGAGAATTTTTTTCAATAGATTGGAATTTTTAAGTTGAGAAACTAGTTTATTATGTAATCGAGAACTTATTAAAGTCAATATTCTTCAAGTAGGGCAAGGATTCTCTTTTTATCAGGATGATAATCATCATTTTTGAATGACCAAATAGTCCTTTTAGTAAATGACATTCAAATGTGCTCATTCAAATGTGCTCATTCATATTTGACATTATCAGACTTACTTTTAAGTACCTAGCTATAATAATATGATGCAATCAGATGTGCTTTTCTTGTTGCAAAAAAAATTAATCAGTTCTGAGAAATACTTAAGATTTTGTGATATTAAAGTAAAAATAATTTCAGTTGATAAAGAAAATCGTATAAAGTCGAGCAATAATTTTATGATTTATTCAGTCAAAATAAAGTAATCAAACTTAACTCAAATGCAATGAGTTTAAAATTTATATATTTTGTGTGTGTATGTGTTATAATCTTCTACACTACTTCTGCACAGATATTATACTGTACGTTTCGAAATGATAGTACTTACGGCTACACTTGTGACATTTATATTCTCAACCCAACTGGAAACTATAACTTTTCAAGAGTCTTAGGATCACATTTCACTGGAAAGACTGATCAAGATGTTCGATTCATTAAAAGAAGCGATAATTCTAATACTACAAATGTGCCGTACATCATCTGCGAAACATTCCAAAATGCAATCTGGTTTGATTTACAATCAATAAGAATTAGCAGACTAGATGAAAATACATTTTGGGGATGCAAAAGTCTTAAGTACTTGTACTTAAACAACAATCTTTTAACAACACTTCCACCTTATTTATTCTCCGTTCATCCTTCGTCTCACATAAACGAGGCTTTAACACTACCATGGGATATGTTTAGCTCTCATTTACAAAGTTTGGAGATTTTAAATTTGAGCAATAATCAAATAGAAGAGATTCTACCTTTGACTTTTAACTCGCTGATTAACTTAAAATCTTTATATTTACATTATAATCTAGTTGAGGAAGTTCAACCTGAGACTTTTAGCTCTTTAAATAATTTAGTGACATTAAACTTTAATTACAATAAAATTATCAAATTAGTTCCAAAATCATTTGAGTCCTTAGTTCATTTGACGTCATTATATTTAGACCATAACCAAATTGAGGAAATTCAGCCAGATATCTTTAGTCCACTTATCAATTTAAAGACATTGGATTTGTTTAAAAATCAGATTGAAGAACTTCTACCGAAGACGTTTAAATCATTAATTAGTTTAAGTGAACTGTATTTATCATCTAATAATATATCAAGAATTTATTATGATTCATTCGAATCTTTAGAAAAGTTATTAATTTTACAATTACAATACAATCAAATTGATGAACTTCCAAGAAATTTTATAAGCTCATCAAAACAGCTTCCAAAGATTGATCTTAACAACAACAAACTCAAAGTCATCCACTCATTTGGTGTTTTACCAAAATTAATCACAGTTAATTTGCAAAATAATCAAATTGATGCGTTTGATCAAGACTTAATTGATGACACTGGAGTTGTTACTTTAGATATGAGAAATAATTCATGTGCAAATTTTGTTATTACTGACCGTACATCTTTAAGATTAGATATGAGAATGAAACTTTTGAATTGCTTTTCAAATTACGGTAATTTACCGCCAGGTAAGCACAAACCTTCTTTCATATTTTACAAATTTTATTTTTAATAAAAAAATAATATTTTTGCAATTATTACAGAATCAACAACTGCTCCAACAACAGTCTCAACTACCACAGAATCAACAACAACTGCTTTAACTTTACCTCCAGGATGTATCGAAGGGAACTTTTTTTTTTTCATTTTAATTGCACTTTATTGCATTTATTGACGACATACTGTCCGGAAATAATTCACATTTTACACTTTTGTATTTGTATACATATGAATTAGTATTATGTAGGATCAAACTTCTAATCTTCATATCTAGGTTTCAAATAAACTAAGGCTCTCGTTTCGATCTTCTGTAGGCGTTACGTGATACTTTTCAGGTCCGTTCTATCAATATTCCATTCGTGGGTAATCTTGTAGCTCTCGTTCCTATTTCTCCCGCTACACTTCAAGTTCCTGACCCGTTCCTTAATCCAACGTTGCCCAAATGCCCAATTATGGCTTGATCTCGTACATTAAGCAGTCGAAGTATCTAAACTTCCGAAAAAGAACAAATTTGGAAATGGCTGGATTCGAACCGACGACCTTCGAGTTACCATCCCAAATTTGAGCCAAGCGCCTTACCTATTCGACCAGCAAGGCACTTAACTGGATGTATCGAAGGGAACTTAGATGAAAGAGTTTGCAGGCTTGAAGCTACAAATGAGGAATTTAAGGAAAACTTTAGCAATCAAGATATTTTTAACATTGAAGTAAAGAATCAAAGTATTTTAAATGAGCAAAATTTCAAAAATCATTCAGCTGCTATTGAAGAATTAGAAAAAAGGATTGAAGAATTAGCAAGTCGGCCATGTTCTTGCAACTAAAGCTAATTCCAATAATGTCGTTCATAAATGATGTCCAATATTTAAGAAGGTGAATAAAAATTGAAGCTGTGTGAATACAAAAATAAAATTTTGTGACGGAGGTGGGTACGAGTTGTAAAATTTCAAGCTGTTGATTGTTATCATTTTTGAACAAACTCAAATCAGCTATCAATTAATTATTTAATAACACTCTGAATCATTTTCCGAGCAATCACGATTGGTTTAATACGAAGGCAAAACAGTAGCCGTCATATTTTTTGTCACTATCAGAAATTAATGTTAAAAAGTCTTAGTTTTTCTTGGTGTTTTTAAGGGGGCTCATAAAATTTTTAATTTTAATTCATTTTTGATATGTTCTGATATATTTAAACCAGAACTCGAAGTAGACTCGAGATTTTCATCGTTTTTGTATGGCAGAGTCGACTCCAAGTAGACTCGAATCTGTACAAAATTTCATCGACTTCGAGCTTTGGTTTAAACAGTTTGAACGATTTAATAAGTCTGCTTTCTGAAACTACAAAGAATTTTCCCTCTTAACGAACGAAATGGATTGAATATCAAAGTAAAGGAATGATATCTTTAAAATATTCTAAACTAGCTTTATTATTGTCAAGCTCATAGCCATAGACATCAAAAAATCAAATGAGAATGAAAAATTCATTAAATGAGAATTAATTCCGAATGAGGAGACATCAGGAGCTAATGCTCAATTCAAAATGGGAATAAATTTAAGATTCAGTGAGCAAATGAGCACAAAACCGAAGCATATGTAAGTAAAAATGAGAAAATATCTCAAAATCTTCTCAAAAACTCCCAAATTCTCTCCCATTTTCGAAATTCGAACAACTCTCCAACATGCCGAGAGAGTACCTAAAAAGCACAGAAAAATTGCACAACTCAACAGAAAAAAAATTATTTTATTTTGTCTTCAAATACGAAACACGAGAGAAATGAATGAATGAAAAAAAAATAACAAATGCTTGAGTCAGTTGCTGTCAAACTGTATTAACGTAAACACTTAATAATAAATTTTTATTCTCGCAACCCGTCTTTATTTTTGTTTCAAAAAAAAAAAAATAATTATAAATGTCGTCGGCCGAGAATCGGTTGGATATGAATTGAGTAATTATTAAATTACTGTTTGTGTCATTTTTACATGCCGAATGAGTCGACACAAAGAAATGCTGCATAATAAAGAAAAAAAGTGATAATTTTTCAATATAAAAAATAATAAAATTTTAAAAAATTGACAAGCAAAAAGGGAAGTGACTGAAAAAATTATGAAGCAATTAATTTTTCTGTGCACATCATCGAATTAATTTATGATAGACAAACAGTAGGCACACATAAGATATAAAGTGAGAAGAATGCAGTGAAGCACATAAAATATTTTTTTTTATTCCTACAAAGTAGCAAAATTGTGCTGTCAGTCGATAATTCTTTTGGATTTATGTATGCACATAAATAAGATTAAAAGAGGTAGAAAAAATGAAAATTTATGAGTGAAAAAAAAATGTTCTGCTTTTGTTGATTTTTGTTTGCGGATTTAGCGCATTTGAACTTTGTTGTTGTTGTTGTTGTTGTTGCTGTCTTGTTTTGGAGTAATCAGTAATTCTGTTGGGGATTAAAATGTTTTTCTTATGACCCGCTATGGAACTAATCGATGGACATGATGATTATTTTTGTTTTCAGTTCAGAATTCTAAATTGGTAAAGCGTGAAGCTGCTTAAAGCTCTTGACATACATAAGTGCTAGGATAGAAATTTCTAGATTTGAAGCTGTTATTGATGAATCTAACAGAGTTTTTTAAGTTTTGGAGCTACATTCAGGTATAATTTAACTATTTTATTTTTGTATAAAAAACAGAAGAGTAGCAAGAAGGGGGCTGTAAAAAAATCTCCAAAATTCCATTTTATTGCGAGCATAAAATAGTTCGGCTCCGGGCGACAGGCATTCTTAATCCTTTGATCGAGAATGGATCTCTAAATATTGTTCTGATAAAAAGCTTGATTTTAGAGTTTTTCCCATCTTGTCATACAAAAATTCAATTTTAAAATTTCAAAAATTATTAAATAATCGATTGAAAAGGATCTCTTCACCCTCCTCCAACTATGATGATCATAGCAAATGCATCACACTGCAAAACATTGATTTGTTGGAAAATTATTCCCATTGCAATGTCTTTTTACCATCTTCCTTGAAGTTCGTTCACTTGTGACATCCGCAATTTATGGAGGGGTCTAGGATTTTGTGACAGCTCAAAAAACAAATTTTTTTCCATATAAATTTTGTGACAGGGGGAGGTGGTCTAAAAATTATGTTTTTTGATGAACGTCATAAGTGAATGACTCTTTACAAGATTCAACAAGAATCGTCAAAATTTCAGAAACATAAGCTTTATTACATCATTCTAATTTTTATTATAGCATGCTTAAGGCTGTAGGTCTTAAATGGTGAATGATTTAAAAACACGAGTTCATAAACCACCCCTGCCCCTTTCTTTCGCCCCAAGAATCAAAATTCGTGGCATCGAAATGTTCTCTTGCCGTTGTTCATTCAGATCAAAGAATGTCTTCACTACATTTGAGAAGATAATGTGTCTTATTATTTAAAACCAGTCTATGACAAAAATAAAATGCTTTAGCTTTCTAAGAATAAAATATGAAGAAATTTCGATGACACAAGAACAATCCTGCTTCTATTCCTGTAAACATTCAAATATAATCAATTAAATTAGCATAAAACATCGACTATGATTCTCAAAATGCCGCATAATTAGCTAGCACAACTCTAAGTTTTAGTATAATTTTCAAATAATCTCCCCCCAAAATGTCGCAACTAGCCTCACACTCCACAATAGAAAAAAGCGCAAAAATATCGTAAACAGAAATTATATGAATGTGAGAATGTTAATTATCAGCATAAAAACATCAATTTTTGAGCTTCTTGTTTTTAAAATTAATTAAAATAAAATTTTATTTTTCACAATATTTATTCTGCTTTCGGATTAATATGAAAAAATCGTGAAAATAAATAAACGAGACCAGAAAAAATTCCCACCGAAATGCCAGTGGATTATGAAATTCTGCGGTTTGGGATTATGTGAAAAGTGACAAACGAACAACAATAAAGGATTAAGCTGCACATTATTATGCATGTAGCCACATGAAAAAATTAAAATTATAATAAAGTGAACATAATTAAGGCAGAATTACCATAGCCGATAATTTTTCGAATTGTTTCGTTGATGCTCGCATTGGATTATAAGTGGAATATTTATTGAGAAAAAAAATTATTATTTTCAACATTCGGGCACATATTGTGGAAGATTAGAGCAGAGATTAGCATAATTATTAGAATATTATGGAGTTGAATTTTAATTCCTATTTTTGGTTTTGGGTAAGAGATGAAAATGGAACTAGAGGAATGAGAAACTGTGAATTTAATTGTGATAATGATGATAAAATGTGCTGGGAATTGTTGAATAATTATGAACATTTTTGAGAATTTCAATTAAAAATTGAAAAAGTGAAGAAAAAAACATTGAAAAAAACTGAAAATAAAAATAATTCCAAATAAAATAAAAACAAATTTTTAAAAGACAGCAAAGCTATAAACTTGTTTAATTTAGTTTCACTATCAAAATTTTAATAATATCCAATTTTAATAAGTCCCCTTCCAACCCTCCTCAAAAATCAACAGCAATCTACATCCGAATTCCAATAAAAGAACCTCTCACTAATCCCTCAACCGCCACGAATAAAAATTAATACATTCCAATTTTATTAAGATTAATTAAGCCTTTACAATACATTCTCTAAGCCTTTTAAAAAATAATTTATTTGTCTGAGCCTTTTCAAAAAAAAAATAAATACATAAAAAATAAAATTTGATAAATTATTGTAGGCAAAAATTGCTGTAGAACCTGACAGAAGGTGTGTTTTTGCGAACAAATTGCAATAGATTTTTGAATATGATTGATTAACTCGATTAATTATCGAGTGTTGTTTGGTCATTAATTTTTCTGTGAATTTTTTGAAATGTGGATGGAATTATGAATTATTTTGTGGATTTTTAGATTGCTTGTTTGTTCTTGTTGGAGGTTATTTGAATGGTTTGATGTTAAGAGAGCCTTGCAGCTCAGCTGGGCTATTATACTATCTCAATTAAGATAATAAATGTAAATAAGTTCAAATAATAATAATTAAAAACATAATTTTATAATAAACATATTTAAAGGCAAAAATGCAGCATTTCTTTTGTTGTTCGTACTAAAGTCTTCAAATTTTACTCATGAAGGCTCAGTTTTTGACATTGTGTGGATGGAGTTGCTGCTGGTTTATCAAATGTTATGTCTGGTCCTTTAAAATGAGAACTTTCAATAAAAAGCACATACGTCCTTTTTAGGGGTACATAAGACACATTCTAGGACCACTGAAATTTAAAATAACATATTAAAGTAAACCTAAACTGGACTTTTAACAGATGTAGCTGCTCAAAATCAATCCCCCAAAGCTCTTAATAAATATTGATAATCAGCATTGACAGCTTTGGAACTGTCTTGAATTTTTGATATCAATTCTGAGATTCATTGCTTGACAAAAAGCTTTTAAGCCCCTTGAATTCTAATCATTTAGAATAAAAGTAAACCAGCATCAATTTTGCCTTCTTTTGTTATTAATCCGACTTGATTGATCATTCTAATGACCAAGTCTAAATTCCATAATTATAAAACAACACAAGTGGCGACAAAAGATCATAAATTAAATTTCAAT